CCAGCCAGGTGGTGGTGCCCACCTTTAATCCCAGCCCTGGGGAGGCAGAGGCCAGCCTGGTCTACAGAGTGAGTTCCAGGGGAGCCAGGGCTACACAGAAAAAAAAAAAAGTCTCAAAACAAAACAAGCCAACTGTAGTGAGAATTGTAGAGCTTTCTTTGAAAAACCACAAATATTGTAAGAATATGTTTTCATTTTAATCCCAGGTGTGGGGACATGAGGACCACTTCACAGCCCTTGCCTGGGTAGACTGTGTCCCACGGGCAGTCCTGAGATCCTAAAAAGCCAGGCCCTCCCCTCCAGGGGTCCACCAAAATGAAAGAAATTGCCACACTCATCACCGATGAGGCGTAGGGCAAGGCTGGCTGTGGGCCCTGGTACCACGAGTCAGGTGTACGCGTAGTTAGTCAGGGCATGAGCGGCACTGGCAGTCTGTTGACTGGGATTCCTGGTTGACTCACCGCGCTGGCCAACACAGAGAAGTCAGCCCCACACATCCCCACACATCCCCACACACCCAGGCTTCACGCTGCCTCCAGCAATTTGTAGCTGCTTTCCAAACTCCGCCAGAACCCAACCCACAGAGGATGACCCCTGGGCCAAGCCCTACACGTCCCAAGCCAAGGCAGCACCCTTCTCCCACGCACCCGTCCATGCCACCAGCACTGCTGACGGCTCTCTGGAGATGCCACCCACCCAGCCAGTGCCCACACCTGAAGGTCACTCCCCAGTCTGCCTCCGGACTCGGCTGACACGGCTCGAGAGGGAACTCCGAAGGATGCTGGCAGGAAGAGCTTCCCAGCTGAGGGTGTGTCGGGAGGGCCTGGGTTCCACCCCTGCACTGCAGAGACAACACAACTCCAGCTCTCCCACAGCCCCCTCCAGAAGGACCTTGGAGTGGAGAGGCCATGAGTTATTGTGTAGAGCCGTGCCCAGCTTGGTCCTGTGGGGGGCAGGGGCAGTGATATTATCCCTTGAGACCCACCATCTGCCAACATCCTGCCAGGCTCCCACCTGAGAAAGCAGGGAGAAATCACAGCCCCCTGGAGTTGTGTCACTGGCAAGGGCTGCTCTCTAGGCTGAGGACCCCAGGTTGGCAGGTCCCTGCTTCCTCCCGGCCTGGCAGATGTTGGTTAACAGGCAGGGGAGGGTGGAGGAGGGATGGCCATTTGCCCCTCACAGGTGTCTTGGCCACACAGTCTCCCAGAGGTTTCTTCCCAACTCCTGGTGGAGTTTGAGAAGCCTCTAAAGATTCCCCTGAGGTGAAGACGAATGTCACTCCTCCGCTAAAACACCTCCCGTGGGGTCTCCATGGCACCAAACAGAAAATCAACGCCCCAACTTCCTCTGCTGCTCCCCCCCCCCCCCCACCCCCCCCCCCTCCCCCCCCCCCCCCCCCCCCGCCTCTGGCCTTTGCACCTGTTCTTCCCTTGATAATCACACACAGCTGATCCTGACCCCTGCATCGTTGCTTATCTCCTGCCTTGCCTTGTTTTCATTCACAGTATTTATGTGGACGCCTCCCCATCTCTGTGTTGGTTACTATGGACTGTGGCTTGTAGATCGCTCAACAGGTAAGTCTCTGGAAGGAATTTGTAGGCTAGGTGAATTAAGGTGGGAAGTCTCACTTTAAATGTGGGCCGTGGGGTGGGACTCAGGAGAACAAAGATAAATATAGACTATTCCATTCTATGAGCTGGTGACCCAGACTGTAAGGAGAGAGAGCTGAGCACGAGCATTCATGACGTTCTGCTTTATTTTCTTATTTGTTTGTTTGTTGTTTTGGGAGATGGGGTTTTGTTTTGTTTTGTGTGTGTGTGTAACAACCCTGGTTGCTCTGGAACTCACTTTATAGACCAGGCTGGCCTTGAACTGGAACTCACAGAGATCCACCTGCCTCTGCCTCCCCAGTGTTGGGATTAAAGCTGTGGGCCATGAAGCCCAGGGGCTTTTTGCTCCTTGGCTGGAGCAGCATGGCCAGCTGCCTCCTGCCTCTGTGCCCTTGCTGCCATGGTGTGCTGCGTCCCCTGTAACCAGAAACCTAAACAGAGGCTTCCTTCCACAAGCAGCCTTTTTTTTTTTTTTTTTTTTTTTTGCCAGGATTTTTGTTGCAGCACTGAGAAAATTGAGGAAGCTTCTCTCCTGTAATCTCCTTCAGGAAGTTAGAGATGTCTGCCTGTTAGCAACTGTGTCCTTGGCAACTGGAACAGGCCCCAGGATGTAGCCGCTGAGGTGGTACTCAATATTTCTAGGAAAGAGGTACCTGGACCCTGGCCTGTCCGGATGGCGACCAGACGCTGCTCCACATCTCTCCCCACTGTGATGGTCCCTGTCTGTCTTTAGCTCTGACTCTCTTGCTAGCTCTCCCTTTCTCCCTGCCTCCCTTCTTGCTTCCCTCCCTTCCCCCCTTTCTCACCCCTTCTGTCTGTCTGTCTGTCTGTGTTTGTATGTGTGGGAATTTCCACTGGGAAGCTAAAAGGACAGCTTCATTTCCCTGCCGGGCTAGAGGGGCCGAGTGGAAATTTCCATTCCCACAGAGCATCCTGCAGCTGAGCGCAACTGGCTGGGTCACATGGAGATGTTCACTGATGGCTGTGACTGCACCTCCAGGCATGGAGAGTGGGTGTAGTCTGCAGGCCTGTGCTCCTCCACCTGGCCTTATCTCTCTTGGGGAACCTAGCTTAGGACTGAAGGACCTTGGAGGAGGAACCGAGACTACCAAATCCAACCTGTTCCTTTAAGACACAGTAGGCTGTCTTTAGTTTATCCTTTCCTGCCGGTGATTACACTCACCCCAGCCCACCTCTCCTCCCCCCTCCTCCCCCCTCCATCACGCCTTCCCTCTGCCTTCATGTTCTCTCTCTCTCTCCTCTCCCAGACCGAGCACCATTCCACAGCACTCTCCCCCAGCTTCTGGCTCTTACATTCTTTCCATCACCACCACCGCCACCACCCTGAGATGTTCCCCGAGCTTTGGTGAGTGCAGTCGTGATGACACAAATGTTCCACGCATGACTGAGTACCCAACGGTTACTTATGCTCAACATCTTGACTGGTCATGAGTCTCTGTACTAACTGCTGCCCACTGCAGAGAGAGGCTTCCCTGGCCAAGGATGAGGGCAAGGCTGACTGTGGGTACAGACATAACTGCGAGAGGTTGGCTCCTTGTGAAAACCCGAGGCACAGAGGAACGGCAAGTCGTCCATGGTCACAATAAAAATGAACAACAAACAGACTCCGAATCATGGTCCTGCCTGGACAAGACTGTTCTTTGTCCTGCCCTTTGCCTACCATTTCCTGTGTGCCTTCTGTGGGCCAGCCCCACAACCCCTATTCTTTGCCTTTAGAACCTCAGGTTGGGGCTGGAGACATGGCTTGGTGGTTAAGAGCACTGTCTGATCTTCCTAAGGATCCGAGTTCAATTCCCAGCACCCACATGGCGGCTCACAACTGTCTGTAAGTCCAGGACTGACACCCTCACAGCTATACATATAAAATAAAGAAAATTAAATAAATTAAAAAAAAAAGAATCTCAGGTTCCTTAGCCTTCAAAATCTGCCTGTCCCTCCTCTCTACACACTGTCCCTTCCACAATCTGCTATTCTTGAACACTCTGTGTGTGTGAGTGTGTGTGTAGATGGTTCCATGATTTAGAGCACCTGCAGACTAAGCGCTTTTACACAGGACCCGGGTTCAGCTTCCAGCACCCATATGATGCCCTGAAACCATCTATAACTCCAATTTCAGTGGCTCCAATGTCCAAACATGCATGTAGTACACATACATATATCCAGACAAAACTCATGAAATAAAAATTTAAAAAGTGGCCGGGTGTGGTGGTGCACGCCTTTATTTAATCCCAGCACTCAGGAGGCAGAGGCAGGCGGATCTCTGAGTTCAAGGCCAGCCTGGTCTACAAAGCGAGTCCAAGACAGCCAAGGCTACACAGAGAAACCCTGTCTTGAAAAACAAGACAAAGGGTGGAGAGCTGGCTCAGTGGTTCAGAGCACTGGCTGCTCTTCCAGAGGTCCTCAGGTCAGCTGCCAACGACCAGATGGCGGCTCACAATCTTATGCCCTCTTTTGATCTGCAGGCGTACATGCAGACAAAGCACTTGTATACGTAGTTGGGAGGCAGAGGCAGGTGGATCTCTATGAGGTCAAGGCCAGTCTGGTCTATAAAGCAAGTCCAGGAGGGCCAGGGCAGTTATACAGAGAAACCCTGTCTCAAAAAAACAAAACAAAACAAAAAAAACCCCAAACCAACCAAACAAAAAACCAAAGCAAACAAATCTAAAACAACACAAAAAGTTAAAAAAGTATTTGCTACTTTTAATAATAATAGTAGTAAGATCTAAAGAAAAACATTTTTTAATCCTGGATATTACCAGAATGAGCCTCAGTGGTGAAGTCTGACACACATAACGTCCTGGAATTGAGCCCCAGCACCACAATAAGACATACATGCCTATCGTGTGAGCACTCAGGAAGTGGAGGCAGGAGGATGAGAAGCTCAAGATCATCCTGGGTGCATAGTTAGAGGCCATCCTGGGCTACATGAGACCCCATTGCTGAACAAAACCACAGTGGGATGCCCAGGTTGCTCCCACTTTGATCAAACTTGAAACACCTAGGATTGCCCTGAGGTGGTTCCATTTTACAGTGAGAACTTGAATTAGCGGCTCCTGATCCTTGGCCTCTGGGTGGTAGATGAACTGAGGGTTTTTGGCTTTTTGAGACAAGGTTTCTCTGTGTAGCCTTGGCTGTCCTGGACTTACTTTGTAGACCAGGTTGGCCTTGAACTCAGAGAGATCCGCCTGCCTCTGCCTCCCTGAGTGCTGGGATCAAAGGCCTGTGCCAACAGGGCTGGCTTTTGTATTTTGTTTTTGTTAGTGTGTCTTCCTCCCAGGGTTATTTTCTGGATTGTTACACCCCGGCCTCAGCTCAGACCTTGCCTGAGCAATCCTGTCTCTGTCTCTGCCCTTTGCTCTCCAGGCTGTCTAGGTGACCCGATCTGACCTGCACCCCAATCACTGGGTGCTTAAATATTTACTGGTGATGATGTCAGTGACCTTGAGCAGCCTGGGCGAGAGGATCCTGGATGTGAAAGAGGACAGGCAGACTTGGGTTCTCATGAAAAGCAGTTCCTCTGGCTGAGTCTCTGCCTCAGCTTAACCATCTGTGGACGGGGCTGGAGGCCTGGCCATAAAAGTGCTGACCTAACAGTTTCTGAGGAGGAGTGGATACTGCCCAACCTGTGCAAAGGGCACAGCCACTCCTAAAAGCCTGTGATGGGAGCAAGATGTTCTGGCTTTCATGGTGGAGAGAGGTGAGAGCCTTCAAAAATAGCTGCTCCTGCCCCCAACTCTCTGTTTCCTACACTACCTTATAGGATTTATGTAGAGCCTCATGTTCCAACCCACAAATCCTAATATTTTGAGATGTATTTTGAGATGGAGACTATGTCTCTCCTGTGAGTACCAGTGCCCCTGGAACAGTGACAGGGAGGGGGTCTCTCTCAGTACTGTGGAAGAAAGGTGCCTGGGCTTCTGGCGTGGAATGACGAGCTGTTCCCTCCCTCCTTACCTCCCTCCCTTGATTCCTGTCTGTTTTCAGCTTCCAGCTGCTGACCAGTAGAACCTTCAGAAGAGAGATGGCTGTGCGAGGAGGCTGTGCATCTTCTGAAAGGGCCATGCCCAAGCAAGGCTATCCTGTGGCAGCTGTATATTCCTGCAGAAGGTGCACAGGATCAGCCTTTGGGTCCGGTCCATCCAGAGGTGGCCAGGCCCAATCACAGGTCGATGAAAGCCTTATTCTACATCTCATCTTTTCCTCCTTGCATAGCTACCTTCGGAAGCAAGGTGCAGAGATGATGAAGCCAATCACACCAGGATGAGCAAGTGACTCATATCGGTAATACCAGTACTTGGGGAGGTGGGGGAAGACCAGAGATGAACCGCCATTCTTAGAGCAGTGGTTCTCAAGCTGTGGGTCACGACCCCCTTGGGGGTTGCACCTCAGCTATCTCCCATATCAGATCCTTACGTTATGATGCATTACAGTCGTAAAGTACATATGAAATGATTTTTATGGCTGAGGGTTAGCATAGCAGGAAGAACTATATTAAAAGTTCACAGCATCAGGCAGGTCGAGAACCACTGATGTAGAGCGTTCCGGGCCAGCCTGGGCTACCTGAGACCCTGCTTATAAATATATAATAAGTAACAGGAGAAGCTGAGGAATGGGTGATGTCACTCTAGAGTGTGTGTGTAATGCGCATGCCCTCCGTTCATCCCCAGCACCGAAGAAGCGCGTCCCCACAGAGTGAGACCCTCTTCTGCTAAAACAAGGAGGAGGAAGGGGTTGGGGAGAGCTGACACAATGTGCCTTCTGTCTCAGCTACTCCTGAGCAAAGCAGGCAGAGCTTTAGACAGAGGAAAACAGTAAACAGGATCCGTCTTCCATGCCTAAAAGGCTTGGACTATAAAAAGATTCAGTTAGGGCCGGGTGGTGGTAGCAAATGCCTTTGACCCCAGCATTTGGGAGGCAGAGGCAAGCAGATCTCCGTGAGTTTGGGGCTTGCCTGGTCTACAGAGCGAATTCCAGGAGAGTCCCAGAGCTCGAGGAAGCAAACGAGGGATTCCTGCACCAGGCCAGATTTCGCTCATTCAGTGGGTTCTTTGGTAGTCCCCAAGGGAAGCCAGCACCTTGCTGGGTGTTGGTGACTACCAGGTGCCTGAGCACTGCTGAGGACCTCTATTCTGGGCCGTTTCTTCAGCTTCGAACTGTCTCTGATCAAAGGATCTTCCCAGACTTTGCCAGTCTATGAAAGATTCCCAGTTTGGGAGTTCTCAGTTCCAAACAGGAAACCAGTAAAACCAGGGCCTGACATAAACTCTGCCAGGCCTCAGGAAACCAGACAATGAACCTGGGAAGTATCCTCTGCTTAGGGCCGAGCTTGTGGCCCAGAGGCAGGACACTTGCCTGGCCATGTACCTCAGGGGCCTTTTCCAGGCAGGAAAGGGAAGCCTGGCAAAGTCTAGCTGTTTCTGAGTGCTAGTGACCAAGTCATGGCTGCTCAATACTTATCTCTCCTCCCTCTGTTTTCTTTCTTTCCCCCAGAAGTCGGTGAGACTGCATGGCTTGGTTTGACCAACTAGGGCGTGTGACATGTACTGCTCTACAGCAGAGAGAATGATGCCTCTCCAGTTGTTTTAAAAACCACATTGAGGCTGGGCGCGGTGGTGCACCCCTGGAATCCCAGCACTCGGGGAAGCAGAGGCAGGCAGATCTCTGTGAGTTCAAGGCCAGCCTGCTCTACAAAGCGAGTCCAGGACAGCCAAGGCTACACAGAGAAACCCTGTCTCAAAAAAACAAAACCAAAATCACATTGAGATGTTTACTATAAAGGTGATTAAAGGCCTTAAAACAAATGGGTTTAGATCCCAGGTCTTTCTCACTTCCCTTGCTCCTTGCATGTACAATGGGAGAAATCCCCTGGAGACCAGAACGTCAAAGTTAACTTCTGTTCATACCCTAAGATCTTCTCACCTACCTGGAAAAAGCCAGGACCAGGGACCACACCTGGATGGATTTCGCTTGTGAACAAACACATGTCTCTTGGGTTCATTCAAAGTTCAAGAATTATTGTGGATGTTCATTTCTGTCCTTATTTATTTTATTTTATTATTATTATTTTTTTTAAGACAGGGTTTCTCTGTGTAGCCCTGGCTGTACTGGAACTCACTCTGTAGACAAGGCTGGCCTCGAACTCATAGAGCTCCGCCTGCCTCTGCCTCCTGAGTGCTGGGATTAAAGGCGTGTGCCACCACCGCCTGTCCTGTCCCCACTTATTATTCCCTTAAGCAGTCTACTTTCCCCATTCTTCCCCTCCCCTGTAGGCAGGTAAATGTGACATAATCACATTCCTGTAACTACTCCCCCGATTTCATATTGATGCACGTGTATGTTTTCTCTCCTTTTTTAATCTTCCCTGGGCCCAGAGGGGAGACAGAGAGTGCATCTAGACTCACAGCACACGGGCACTGCACTTGAAGGTTGCTGCTTTAAAACCCACCTGGTCTTTGGGGCTGGAAGGTTAGGAGCCCTTTCTGCTCCTCCAGAGGGCCTGACTTCAGATCTTAACCCCCATGGTAAGGAGATTAGCTTTCCTCTCGCTTTCTAGGTACCTGCGTGTGCGCGCACACACACACACACACACACACACACACACACACACACACACACACTGAAAAATAAACGAATTTTTAGCAGGACATGGTGACATATGTTTTTAGTTTCAGCCCTCAGCAGGCAGAGAGGCAGGCATATCTTTGTGAGTTCAAGGCCAACCAGGTCTAAAGAGTGCATTCCAAGCCAAACCCTATTTCAAAAGAAAGAAAGGAAGGAAAGAAAAGAACGCACCAGGGGAGATGGCTCAGAGGTTAAGAACACTTGCTGCTCTTGCAGAAAATGCCAGAGCAGTTTGATTCTCCGCACCCACGTGGTGGCTGACATTTGCATGTAGCTCTGGTTCCCAGGCATCTGATGCCTTCTGTCTCTGTGAGGCAGAGACAGCAACCCTTGACTGCTGAGCGGTCTTCCCAGACCCTTCCTCCGGGTATATTGAGGAAGATCCAGCCCCACTCAGAGGAGCTCCATGAGTCTGTGCAAATGCAGCAGAGCGCGACACCCTCCTCCCTGAAACTCTGAAACCAGGTTCGCTGCTCTCCCCCGCAGCCAGCCATATCATTTCCCTTTGACCCAACAGGCCAGCTCCTAGGACTTTGCCTTACATAGATACTCTGGCTTAAACAAAAACGATGTGGGTGAAAGGTCAGGAACTGACATGTCTATGGCAGGAGTCTGGGCAGGCCAGTTAAACTCTGGGGACACAGGGAGCCACTTAGAGGGGTGTGAGGGTGTGGCTGTGTGCACCCAAGGAAGGGGAGAGACAGAGTTCCAAACACTGAAGGGAATTTAGCCATTTGTGTGGACAAAGGGGTTGCGGATGAATGTGCCTGGAGGTCCAGGATTCCCAGCAAGGGGGGATCCCTAGTTCCAGAGGAAACGGCTTCCTGTGCTTCGGTCGCGAGTACCTGTGTGGGATACTTCTTGTGGGCTGGTTCTTGTTCCCTGGTCCTAATCCCTCAGGGTCCCTGTAACTTGACGCTAAGACTTTTTAAGAAAAATGCTCGCAATAACTTCATAAAGTATTAATTTTGTTTCTGAGACAAGGTCTCACTCTGTAGCCCTGGAGAGCTTGGAACTAAAGTTTATTAACGTGTACGGGTATTTCTATGTCACCTGCATGCAGTACCCGCAGAGGCCAGAAGAGGGTGTCAGACCCCCTAGGACTGGAGTTAACAGACAGTTGACATCCACTCTGTGGGTGTTGGGAATTGAACCCAGGTCTTCTAAAACAGCAGCCAGTGATCTTAACGTTAACTGCTGTATCTCTTCAGCCCCACCTCCAGGGGCTTTAAGTCACAAATTGGGCAATTTGACTTTTAGTCATATATCTGCTTTTTCAAGCTTAGATCAACTCCAGGCCTGAAGTCCCCCCTCCCCGCTCCCCTTCTCTTCCTCCCTCCCTCCTTCAAGTTAATTTTTACAGACTAATTACTGGGTTTCAAGAATGTTCTGGGATACAGCAGTGACCAGGGTCTACCCAAGAGCTGACATTCCTGGTGGGGGTAGGGCAGAATCAGTTCTTCACTCCTGGGGTCGGAAGCCCTTGACGGAAGCTGAGGTGGGCAGGGGACCCTCTATGATCTGTGTGAGTGAAGGTCAGACTGGCAGGGCGCTCCCTGGGACCGTGTGGCCAGCAGAGCCCTGTGCATGGCCCGTCCCCGGGGCTGACTAAGGGACTCTGCAGTGCCATCTTGAAATCTTAGGTACTTTGATCCCGCACAGGCCCCACAGATTCAGCCGTCAGTCCCGTCTGAGGCACCTCAGGTGACCTCCCCACATACCCCAAGGGACATGGCAAGAAGTGCAAAGGTCTCGGGACTGGGCAGGTGTTGTATCTTTGAGCGTGGAGTCAGAATGAGACTGCTGGCCTTTGTACTCCCACACCTCACTGTACATCTGTCTCCTCCAGGGCCCCCCGGCAGGTGGAGGCAGGAAGGCTTGCTGCTTAGGTAATAGCCTGCCACCATCCTGGGGCCTATCACACACACAGATGCGAAGCCATGTTGTCACAGGGGACAGCTGGCTTGTTGAGGCCCCTGTCCCGTCCTATCCTACTCTCTCCCGACTTCTGTCATTTCTCCTTTCCGTCCTCCAGAAGCTCAGCCTTATTCCCGGCCCACAGCTCCCTAATCCATTCACTAACAGTCCTCAGCCTCTGGATGTGCAGTCTCTTCTACCGGAAGTCCTCTTTGCTCCGGAAGACTTGGGGAGCCTCATCTTGGGATCCTGGTCCCAGGAGGACCAATGAACTAGGGAACTCATCCTGCCCCCAGTGTGGCTGCCATGACAGCCTTCGGCTAGACCCCTGGGTTTCAGTCCTGGCTTTGTTGCATGTAAAGCCAGAAGGCCTTCAGCAATGGAGCTGAAACCTCAACCTTCCAGGGCTAATTTTGCTTTTCTCATTTTGAGCAGGAATTTGTGGGGAAGTGAAGAGTGAGATAATAGGCATTTGGGAAGGCAAGATGGCTCAGTGGGCAAAGGCCCTGATGGACATAAGTTCAATTTCTGAGAGTTATGAGGTGGGAAGAGAGAATAGACTCTTATATGTTGTGTGCTGACTTCCACAGCTCGCTCTCTCTATCTCTCTCACACACACAATGTTTTAAAATATTTTAAAGCAATAATCTTTTCTCCTAGAGCACGACCTAAGATTCTTTTATTACGGGCTGTCCGTCCAGTGTCACCCATATTGTACCCAATTCATCACTTTGGCAGAAGGGTCTCTGACTTTAGCAGAGATTCATCTTTGACTTGGGACAGAAGGTGGCCAAATGGTGTCAGACGAGTGGTAATCTCCTGGAAACCTGAGAGGACTCCAATTTGTGCCAACAATTACCTGGTGAAAGGCTGTGGCAAAGATGGCTCTCATTCTAGAGTAGGAGCCCACCCTTTCCATTTATTGCGCCATCAGGAATGCTGTCCTGTGCTGGGTCTCACAGGCCCCAGATAGCCACACAGGGCGCCTTCAGGAAGCCCCACAGCATAGTGGCCACTGTCTATCTTGGCCAGGTCAGCATGCCTAGCATGCCTAACACCATGTGACTGAGGCCCCGACAGAGCCAAGTTCAAGCCCTGGCTGCGGCAGGGGATCCACATCTCAAAGAGGTGGAGCTTTACCAACCTTAATGCAGACGGACCGGAAGACACAGGTTCTCAACCTGTGGGTCACAACCCCCTCCCACCGTACAACCCTTTCACAGAGGTCAAACAACCCTTTCACAGAGGTCACCTAAGACCACGGGAAAACACAGATATCTACATAATAATTCATAACAGTAGCAAAAGTACAGTTATGAAGTAGCAATGAAATAATTTTATAGTTGGGGATTACCACAGCATGAGGAGACCTTGGTAGCTGAGAGGCAGCTTATCCCTGGATGTCTGTGGGGTCAAGTCTATCCCTACTTATAATCTCCCGGACGGATGAGCTGAGTCCTACACTCTACCATGTCATTTATTGAGCTCCTACAGGCCAGGACAAGTGAGCCCTTCACATCTTTTATCTCATCCTCTCCTTCGCCTTCTCTCTCTCTGTCTCTCCCAGAGAGGGTATGTGCATCACAGAGTTCATGAATGTGCCACATTGTCGGGGCCAGCACGGGGCCACCTGTTCAGCCTCTTACCGTGAGCGCCTTGAAGCCTGATAATTCTGCCTCCTGACGCCTGTGACTTCCGTTAGGGACTTGAAGGGGGCTGGCCCAGGACTCCAGTCTCACTGGAGACCTCATTCCTAGGATCTGAGACAACTGGATGACACAAAGCTACCCATGAGGCCTCGGAGTTCTGAGCTCAAATGATTCTGGGGGGTCTGTGCTTCCGGAACATTGAGTCCTTGCCTCAAAGAAGGGCCTGAGCTGAGCTGTGGGAGGTGGTGCTGTTTTCCTGCTGCCTGGGCGGGGGACAGGAGTTGCTGCCTAGCAAGACACATGAAGGGAGGTTACTCCTTCAGACCAGTTCTGAGCCACAGATAAGAGCTGGCTTGGAGCCAGGCCCAGTGCTTGGCCACTAGGCACCTCCTAAGCTTGTACTCTGGAACCTGTTTCCTCAGCCACAGACAGAGATGATGCCAGAATGTGCCACAGATCAACAGCATGCATGAGGGGCTCTGCGTGGCTCTCCACGGCTGACCTCAGTCCTTACTGAGTCACTGGGTTCCTACATATCTGAAGCAGAGTGTCACGGCTAAATGACTTCTGTCTTGCAAGCAGCCCCCCCACCCCGAGGCCTGGGCCACACACATCTACAGTGACCTGAGCTGGGACGCCTCTTTCCCGGCTCTCAGCCTTGACTTTTCTATCCATAAAACAGTGGCCATCGCATTCACCTCAAAGAAGTGCTTAAGGTTTCAACAAGATCGTAGAGAAGGCCCTCCCACTGCTCGGAACTTACTTCCCCCGTGTGTAAAGTTGGTTAGACACAGCATCTGTTTCAAAGGATTGTTTGGATCAAGAGAGGTTATTTGGCTCATGGCTTGCCACATGCCAAGAACATTAAGTATAAACTGTGGATTTAAAACACAAGCTAATATATGCCTGCAACCTCAGCCCATGGGAGGTGGAACCAGGGGGATCCGGAGTTCAAGGCCAGCCTTTGCTACAGAGTGAGGTCCAGGCAGGAGCTGCATGAGGCTCTATCTTTAAAAACACACAAATGAACAAACACAAAACAAAAAGGCCACCACCACCACCACCAAGAAAACACAAAACAGAACAAATAAAAGCAAACTGAGCTCAACCTTTAGTGTCTGGTTTTTGTTTTGCTTTTATGAGACAAGGTTTCTTTGTGTAGCCCTGGCTGTCCTGGAACTCACTCCTTAGACCAGGTTGGCCTCAAACTCAGAGATTCAGCCCCTTGCCTCCAGAGTGCTGGGATTAAAGGCCTGTGCTGCCGCCGCCTCCATCCTGCAAGTCTTTAGTTTTTATTCATGCTATTGAGGCAGGGTCACCTTATGTTGCCCAGGCTGGCCTTGAACTCCCAGGCTCAAACAATTCTCCTGCCTCAGCCTCCAGAGTAGCTGGGAGGGTGGGCCTGCCACCTTGCCCTATGGATTTAGGAAAAGTGGACATTTGTCTGAACTTGCTGACTGAGAGGCCAGTCTTAGACTATTACGTTAAGCTTGTATGCTCCATCCCAGTACAGAGCAAAATACACATTTTGCCATGTCCAAGGCGCTTCCTGCCCACCATTTGACCTAACCCTAACTACCTTGTCAAGTGGTACTGTCACCTCCAAAACACTGAGGCCCAGAGAGCGAGGAGGTTTGTCCATGGTCACGTGGCGAGCCGGGGTAGCACCGGTCTCCAGGTTAATGTGCCAGGACACCAGACTCAAGAGCCCACTAAGGACAACCCTAGCCTCCCTCAATCCTAGTCACTCAAGACTCAGTCTGGGTCTCCGTTCTCGTTAGGCACGGGTCTCTGCGCTCCTCAGGAAGAGGTGCTGAGAGCCAGGATTTACTGCAGGCCCACCTGCCTTTAAAACACAGGGTTCTGTTCGCTTTCTTTGCTGGGACTAGACCTGGAGGGGGAAGTGCCAGTGGAGAGTGGGTGTTTGACAGAGCCCCAGACAGATGAGGACAGAAATATTGAAGTCAAAGGTCTTGCGGTGAGACCTTGATAAGCCAGAAAGGCCAGCTTGGGGTGCAGTTCCCCGGGCAGAGTGGTATGTAGATTACATAGCCCTGTGAGGGATGCCTGGCGTGTGGTGAGTTCAGGCGGGCCTCAGAGCTCTTGTGAGAACACCCTGCCCACTCTCCTGCAACCATCACCAGGCTGAAGCCTGCCCTTTGGGGAAATGCTCAAACCCTCAAACCGAGCTGGAGTCTGCAGCCCCATCTGCGAGCCTAGGCTCGCTGGGCCTCCTGTTTCAGACTGTACTGTGACCACAGGAAGCCCTGGGACGCGTCAGGGAGTGACCCCTCCTGCAGCCCTAGCTTGCATAACGCCAGGCTGGGAAGCTGCACGCTGGAGGAGATGGCTGAGCCCCGGGTGCCCAGCGCCGCCCTCCGGGCTGGGGCGTGGCCGCCGCCCCTTTATCTGCGACTCCAACGCCGGGACGCAGCAGACAGCACTCAGCTCTCTGCTCCGGTTAACAGGTGAGGCTTCCCCTGGAGATCCCAGCGCTGGGCTGGGCCCCGGGTTGGGAGCAGAGAGGTCGTCCCGCGGGCGCGAGGGTTGGGAGCGCGCTCCTAGCTCTGCATGTGCTCGGTGCCCAGTGGCGGAAGTGGGCAGGTAGCGGGAGGGGGGCGGGGAGGCTCAGGACAGCTGGACCCTGGCAGCTGTACAGTCACGTAGGGGAGCACATCCCGGCAGGGGTGGGGAGAGGCCGCCAGGGGGGGGGGGGGGGGGGGGGGGGGGCAGAGGCAGAGTGTCAGGGAGGGAAGGAGGACCAGGGCCGGAGCGTAGCCTTTGAGCTCGGTGGATGAAGTGAATACTTCAGTACAGTCTGTGCGGAAGGTAGGCAAGGGAAACGGCCTGAAGGCTCACTCACAGCCAAGGAACAGCCTCTCAGGCCTTGGTGCTGCACTCTAGGAGCGAGGTGATAGTGGGCAAGAAGGAACAAAAGAGAGAGAGAGAGAGAGAGAGTAGAATTCCCTTCTGGAGAATTCTGAGGAAATCACTAGGGAGGGATACCAGGCCAGAATATTGGATCCCTCCCTTAGTGTCAGGAAAGCCAGATTGCCCTAAGTAGGGACAGAGACAAGGCCTCAACACCCCCAACACTAACCTAGAGGAATTTCCCTAGCAGCCCCTGCACCTCAGAGGCTGCCTCGGGCCATGCCCTTGGAGGTTTGGTGGATTCTCCAAGCTGGATTGTTCTTGTTGGACATCCAGGGACACCATGTTGAAGGTCCTGTCAGGAGCACCGTGTGCCTCAATGCCCCCCCCCCCCCCCCCCCCGTTGGCCACAGGCCACCCCCCCTCCCCCCTCCACTCCCCGTGTAGATAACCCTTGCTGGGCAGTAGTGTGGTTCGGGTCCCTTTCCCATGTCCTGTACTGAGTGACTGCAGCTAGCTCATCCAACCTTTCTGGGCTGTTTCCCCATTTCAGGGTTCTCTCTCCTTGGAGCAGTGAGATGTCTGAGCTCCGGGGAAGAATTTCCTTTAAAACTACTCATTGCATTCTAATCACATTTCTGAGTACAAATGGAGGCCCACAGTGTGGTTACAAACACAAATGGTTTCTGTTCGGTCCTGGAAGACTCGGAGGTGGCTTTTTCTTTAAACTGGTTGAGTTGAATTGGAGAATTGGTTTGCAAAGAGGGAGGTGGCCTGGTTGCTGAGAGATCCTAAGGCCTGCCAGAGCTTGTCCAATGCAAGTTGCCTGGAGCGCTTGCTTCTGGAGTTAGAGCCTGACAAAGGTTGACAATCAGTTAGACAAATGCTGCATTATCTTGCCCTAAGGCCCGGGGCACCAGGTGGACCTGGGGCTTGAAGGTGCAGAAACGTGGGAAAGTTAGTTAACTGACTAACTGTAGCACCTAACCATAGCCATTTGGGGTCCTCCATGGCTTGTTTTCTCCTCTGAACACCACTTGCGGGGTGTGCCTCCCACAGTCCTAATGTTAACTCTGGCTAGACTTCTTATTGCTAGTCTTTATCTTTTGTAGATAGGAGTCTTGCTGTTTTCCCCATATGAGCCTTGAACTCCTGGGCTCAAGAGAGTCTTCCCTTCTGCTTGGAACTCCCAGTACTCCTGCCTCAGTCTCTCTCTCTCTCTCTCTCTCTCTCTCTCTATATATATATATATATATATATATATATATAATTACATACTTACATATATACATATACATATACATATACATATACATATACATATACATATACATATACATATACATAAGGTTTCTGGGGACAGGGTTTCTCTATATAGCCCAGGATTTCCTGGAACCTGCTCTGTAGACCAGGCTGGCCTCAAACTCAGGAACTCAGAGATCCACCCACCTCTGCCTCCCAAGCGCTGGGATTAAAGGTGTGCGCCACCACCGTCTGGCCAAGGGTTATCTATTTTGTAACAGGTTCACAGAGACATGAAAAATTAAGTGTGCATGGTGGTGCACCCCTGTAATCCCAGCACTCAGGAGGCAGAGGCAGGGGCATCATGCTTTGAGGGCATCCTGAGCAACACGGTGAGATCCCGTCTGAAAAGGTCAAAGAAGGTTGAGGCAGTAAAGTGCTTGCTGGGTAAACAAGAGGAACTGAGCTCAGATCTCCAGCACTCACATTAGAAAAATGCTGGTAACACCAGGGCAGGGCTGGACCTTAGGGGGCTCATTGGACAGTCAGTCTAGCCCAACTGGTGGACTCCAAGTTCAGGGAGAGATCCTGCCTCAAAATAGGGTTGAGCGTGGTAGAGGACACAGACTCAACACAGACCCTCACATTGAGTTCATTCACTCAACACAACCACACAAAAAGAAAGACCAAAGAAAGAAAGAAAGGATAGAAGAATGAATAGGGAGAGAAAAGAATGAATGTACACTGTGTAATTTCTGAATCCTGGCTTTATTATCTTTTTCTAACGAGGCCAAACCTTGTCCTCCATGGCAAGATAAAAGAGTCTTTAGGATAATGTGCGGAACAGTCAAGATACACAAAGCAACAATGAATGCTTTGGGTGCCAAGAGGGTAAAGGAGTACAGGGATGACCAAGCCTGCTGACCTTGGTTATTTAGAGAGGCCTGAAGCACCTGAGGGCCATGCTAATTCATTAGCTCTGTTCTGTGGGCCTAAAATAACTACTGGTGGAATGTCACAGGGCCCCAGGAAGCTTTGAAGTTGGTGAATTCATTTTTTTCCCCTTAAAAAAAAAAAAAAAAAAAAAAACGGGCTCAAAGTGAAAGGGACTTGTCCAGGCCACCCAGGGCTGATGTGGCTGAGCAAGGAGATCCTAACAGAAACAGCGGGGCCAATTCAAGGGCCTACACCAAGCATCAAGCGCTGACAGTTTTCCAAGAGCCCAAAGGCAGTTCTTTTTAGCCTCTGAGGAAACCAGCTCAGAAGAAGGAAAGGAACTCCCACAAAGTTACCAAGCCAGCAAGCAGCAGACTTCAGATTCCATGCCCACACAAACCCCAGATATTTGACTTCTTCATTGTTAAATAGTAGACACCCACTCTTCAGACAGTGGCCCTGTCTTCTTCACAGTGGCCTTTAGGCTTGCTTCCCCCCATGGGCATCTGTGTGGTTGGAACAACAAAGCAGGGTGCCCATCATTCCCGTGTTCCCTGTTCTGCAGGGGTGGCCTGGTGGTTGGAGGTTAGTAAGCCTGGGAGTGGCCAGGACTCCATCTCTCCAAATACCACTTTCTCCAGATGACCCACAGCCAGCCAGACGGTACCAGCCAAGAGGAAGGAAGTCCCCAGGAGGAGTTAGGGTTGATAAACCTTGGAAGAGAAGGGGAAGAGGGGTGACCTGGAGTTTAGAAGAGGGGAGCGTGAGTTAGCAGGCCTGGAGAAGCAGGGTGGGAGGACCTGGATTCTGCCTTCTTCTTGACAATCTATTGCCAGGCCAGGCCATATACCTTTAAAAATTTTTATTTTATTTATAATTATGTGTATTTCTGCATGTGGGTTTGTGTATATGTGAGTATAGATGCCAGTCGTGTAGGAGATGGTATCAGATCCCCCTAGCGCTGGAGGTCCAGGTGGGTGTGAGCCTGTGAGTAGCTGGAACTGAACTCAGATCTTCTGGGAGGGCAGCACATACTTGTTAGCTACCGAGGCATCTCTCTAGCCTGAGGCTGTATCTCTTCGGGCAGCCCTGCTTACACCGTTTGTCCTTTGGTGTCCTCTAGCTCTGTGATAGGACAGCTGGGACGGGAAGTCTCCTTTCCCTGGGGAGGTCACTTCCCAGGCACCTTTTCTGGGTCTGTGGGCAAAGTGCCAGTTTTCAGGGCTCTTGGAATCCAGAAGCGTTATCCTGAATGGTCCTTGCTGAGAAAAATTTAATTATTAAATAGGTCGGTGTCCTCAGGAGTCCAAACTCTGGCCTGGTCCTTAAATATGTACCTAAGGATCAGGTAAATGTTTCAGGAGACAGTTAACCACCCCCTTCCCCAAGACAGGGTATCATGTAGCCCTGACTGGCCTTGTATGTGCTATATAGCCAAGGGTGACCTTCAACTTCTGATCCTCATGTCTTTACCTCCCAAGTGCTGAGATTAGAGGTGGGTACCACCATGTCAGGCTAGGATACAGGTAACCTTCTGACCCCATCCCCAGATCCATTGGCACAGACTGAAAGGTTTGGTCTTTGTTGGGATGCGGGGTGGGACCTTGGGCCTTGTACATTTCGGGCCGTACTCCCAGCTCAAGGACGGATTTTGGAAGAATTTTCATCAAGCTGATCTCAGGCGGTGGCTTTTTCTAGCCGTCCTACTAGTACTCATGAAAATGGCAGCAGTGATTTACTGAGTCCCTCAACGGTACTCAGACTTAGTTCCAGTCATTTAATTCTCTGTAGCAGTCAATAAGGTGTGTAATTTTGTCATTCCCACAAGGGAGCTAAGAACTACAGAGTCAGTCACCGTGGTTCAAGGTCACGGAGCTTGTGTTTTACGGAATCTAGCGTCTCAGAAGCCCGTCTCCCAACAAGCCTTTCTAAGACAGTGGTGGCTTACCCTTTTATTATTTTTTAATAAAAACAATTAATTTTATTTTATTCTATGTGCATTAATATGAAGGTTTCAGATTACTTGGAATTGGCATTACAGACAGTTGGGAGCTGCCATGTGGGCTCTGTGAATCGAACCCCGGTCGTTCAGGAAGAGCAGACAGTGTTCTTAACCACTGAGCCATCTCTCCAGCCCTCCCCTTTGTTCTTAATTCCCCTTCTGATTCTCGCTGAATAAGGGACAGGAACCAGCCAAGTGCACCTGCTCTCCTATCCATCTCCCAGACCCACTTGGTACCAGCTGGCTTAGTTCTTCCTTTGTGGTATGATCTTGGGTAAGCTAGACAGCATCATATGTGTGCCACAGAGGTTGTCTGTGGCTGAGACCTGGCTGGGAGGGCACACGGCAAGCCTGCATTTTACTAGTGTGGGAGTCGGAAAGAAAGGGAGGAGAGAGGTATTTTTAGCCCCACCCTCCTGCGACATCGCTCGAGACACCTCCAGGTCCTTGGAAGCCTCACCCCTAGTGTCCCTCATCTGTGCAAGTGACACTTAACACTTGGCATTTGGTGACTTTGCACAGTTCCACAGCAGATATCATTGGCCCCAGGGTCCAAACATACCCAGGCACCCAGTGCACTTTGAGAGGCCTAGTGTATGTGTGTGTTTGGGGGGGGGGGGGCAGTGTGCTGCGCTGTCTGTCCAGGATAGGCAAGGCTTGGCTGCCTGATTGGCAGAGCACTCCAGATGCCCTAGGATCTCTCTCAATACTCACTCCTTTCCATCTGGGTCAGGCTTGACCTCTCACCCTGCTCCTTCCTTTCCCCTGGATTTGAGGTCCCTCTCTGTAGACTCAGAAGAGGGCCCTAAGTGTGAAAATAGATCTGTTTATATGGAGTAGTGTACCTCTCCTAGTGTTCTAATCAATCCATGGGGCCTCTCTCCCCCTAGAATGTTGCCTCTGGGTGTTACGGAGTTTGTGGTCCCTGGGGAAAGACCATAGACGGAATCCAGTTATAATTAAAAGATTTATTGATTAGCTGCTAGCTGGATGAACAATCTCTGAGTTCAAATTTGAGATTGACATGGAGGGGTATGGAGGAGGTTTAAAGAGGAAAACCACACAAAGACCTTCAAAGACCTTCTTACTATGCAAGTAAGTGAGAACTGTTCTGTTCTGCCAACTCAAAGGAATCTTTGTGCGTGTGTGTCTGCAAGTTACAGAAGCAAAAGAAGCAGTTAGATCACAACAAATGTACGTTTTGGGGTGGGGGGTCACTGGGGCAGGGTTACTGGGAGCTTATCTTCCAGAAACTAGAGTCAGAGGCAAAGGGCTGATGGGTACCAACATGGATGCTTAGCATAAAATGGAGGTCCTTCAGCCACAACGCTGGGTTCTGTGTTTACCACCCACCATGTCTAGTGCATGGCGGGGGGTGTGTGTGTGAGTTGGTATTGTCTTGCTCCTGAGGAGCGGCTGTGAGCCAGGACTTCCCCAGGGCAGATCGAGAGGACAGCATTGAGGGAGTCTAGGTTGCTGGAAGCCAACGGAAACAATCGACAGACACCGTGACTGCCTGCTTCAGGTCTGAGGTTAGCGGTGTTGTTCTGGAGGTGCAAGTGGGTGACACAGGAGGCAAGCCAGCCACAGAGAAGTTGATAAGAGTGGCCGGGTTTAGGGGCCCTTCCCCATTACTCACTAATAAGAAAATGCCCTGTAGGCTTTTCCACATCCCAGTCTTATAGGGACATCTTCTCCATCGAGGCTCCCTCTTCCCTGACGACTCTAGCTTGTTTCAAGTTCGCATAAAACTAGCCAGCACAAACCGATGAGCCTGGATTGAGAAGCAGGCAGCGGGAAAATGTGCTGTGTCTATTGGCAGATGACACCTGTCACCATGTCGTCGTAAACATCAGCTACTTTTCTCTGTGACAAAATACTTGAGAGAAGCAACTCAAGTGAGGAGAGGTTTATTTGGCTCACAGTGTGAGGGTACACAGTCCCTCGTGGCCAGGAAGACACGGTGGCAGGTGCTTCAGGGCAGACAGTCCCTTTGTACCCACAGAAAGCAGAGAGAAAGGAGTGCTGGTGTTCAGTATGTTCTCGCTCTCTCTCTTTCTTGTCATAGAGGAAATACTTTCTTACTGAAAATATGATTTTTTTTAATATAATGTATTCTGATTGCAGTTTCCTCTCCCCCCTCCTCTCGCACCCTCCCCACTTCCCCGATCACCCTGAACCACACCCTTTCTTTCTTTTTCTCACCAGAATACAAACAGGCATCTAAGACAATAATAAGATAAAATTAAAAAAAAAAAACCCACACAGAACAGGACAAAACAAACAGAAAAATGAAAACCAAAGAAAACCCAGAAGAAACACATACGGATGACAAGACAAACACGTTCACACACAGAAAAAAAAACTCATTAAAAAAATCAGAAATCATATTATAGAATCAAAAAGAAATATGTAGGAGGGGGAAAGCCCAGACAAAGCATTGTGAGACAAAACAACAACAACAACAACAACCCCACAAAAACCTTCCCCCAAACAACAACAATAACAACAACAAAAGGCCATTGAGTTCATTTTATATTGGCCGTCTGCTGCTGGATACCGGGCCTAAGGGGTGGTTTGTGAACCCCGTGAGACTCCATCGGAGAACACAACATTTGCCTTTGTGAGCCGTTATCAGCTGAGGATAGCTTCTGAGTTCGGCATGGGGGTTAGGCTGTGTTCACTCCTCCCAGCGTCCCCCAGATCTGGCTTAGATCTGTGCAGGCCTCGTGCTTGCTGCCACAGTCTCTGCGAGTTCATATCGCAGCGCGGCAGCTGCAGCCGCAGCAGCAACAGCAAAGAGGAATAAAAAAGGAAGGAAGTTGGTCTGGGGTGTGATGTAGGCTGGGTGGGAATCAGTACAGGAGAGTCCCAAGCTCTGAGTTCCAGGGTGGGGGAGGGGATTAAGCTTGGCTTGTCTGGGATTAGGATCTAAGGGCATCAGAGAGGAGACTGGCGGGGCTGAGGGAAAGGGTGATTCTACAGGACGGATCCTGAGACTTCTGTCAGGAGAAGGTGGCCTCCGGAGCTGGCTCTTGAAGTGCTCCCAGAATGCATCATGCTGTTCTTCCACTCGGAAAACACTGGGTCCTGTAGTGTGCAGGCCACTTCCTGCACACTACAGGACCACAAAGTGCCCAGCCTCTTTCTGCTCACGCTAACACACTTAACGCCTGCGAGAGGTGTACCAGTTTGACGGTGGGCACTCAAGCAGAGAGGTCAGGGGGACGGAGAAGGAATAAGTTTTGAGGAGTGAATAGGAGTTTGCTAAGTAGGCAAGATGGGGAGGATGTCTCAGTGTGGGGAGCAGCTCGTGCAAAGCTATAGCAGAAGGCAGGAGTCTGGAAAGGCTGCCATGATGAACACTTGGCCGGGTAGTGAGGCTGGAGAAGGAAGCAGGGGCTGGTTTACGCCGAGGGGAGGGTCAATGGGAGCCCCCTGGCAGCTCTGGGTGGGTTGCAGATAGACACAGTGGGCCAGTTAAGAAGGTTATTGCCATTCAGGGTGAACACGGATGGTGGCACAGGCTCACGGGCTGAGAGAGCCTGTCCCGATCTCCCGCCTTCAGCATGGGTGTGTCAGAGAAAAGGGCTGGGTCTGCGGGGCGGTGAGGGAGCCTGATGAGTAAGTGGGGCCCTTCAGCACGTCCCGAGCACCCACTGTGTCAGGCCCTATTCTGAGAACGCTTGGCTACTTTTTTAGGGTGACCCTTTGGTCTTCAGACTCAGCCTAAGGGCAGGGCGTGGGAGAGAGGAGAAGCCTGGAGCATCAGAGCCTCCGCTAGAGACCTAGAGACCAAAGGATTCTGATTTTGCCCTGACCTCCCTCCCAGTTTCCTGCCCCGGCCGCAGGCATGGCGGTGGCGATAGCCCAGAAGTTCAGCCACCTGCTGTCGGGCCTGTGGCACACGGGCCCGAAGCCTCTGCAGCCGGAGCCGGTGTTCACCGTGGGCCGCGCCGAGGTGCCGCCGGTCTTCTGGAAGCCCTACATCTACGCTGGCTACCGGCCTCTGCACCAGTCCTGGTGCTTCTACTTCCGCACGCTGTTCCAGCAGCACAACGAGGCTGTGAATGTGTGGACCCACCTGCTGGCCGCCCTGGGGCTGCTGCTGCGGCTGCTCGTCTTGGTGCGGAGTGTGGACTTCTGGGAAGACCCTCACGCCCTGCCCCTCTTCATCATCGTCCTGGCCGCCTTCACCTACCTCTCCTTCAGCACCCTGGCTCACCTCCTGCAGGCCAAGTCTGAGTTCTGGCATTACAGCTTCTTCTTCTTGGACTATGTGGGCGTGGCCGTGTACCAGTTTGGCAGTGCCCTGGCGCACTTCTACTATGCCATCGAGCCCGCCTGGCATGCCCAGGTACAAGCCATTTTCCTGCCCACGGCCGCCTTCTTGGCCTGGCTCTCCTGTGCCGGCTCCTGCTACAACAAATACAGCCAGAAGCCGGGCCTGCTGGGCCGCATCTTCCAGGAGGCGCCGTCGGCGCTGGCCTACGCGCTGGACATCAGCCCCGTGGTGCACCGCATCATCGTGTCCCCTCTGCCCGCCGAGGATGACCCTGCTCTCCTCTATCACAAATGCCAAGTGGTTTTCTTCCTCCTGGCCGCTGCGTTTTTCTCCACCGTCATGCCCGAGAGTTGGTTCCCCGGCAGCTGCCACATCTTTGGGCAGGGCCACCAAGTTTTCCATGTCTTTTTGGTGCTGTGCACTCTGGCCCAGCTGGAGGCTGTGACCTTAGACTATCAGGCTCGGAGGCCCATCTACGAGCCTCTGCATACCCGTTGGCCCCACGACTTCTCCGGCCTCTTCCTGCTCACCGTCGGGAGCAGCTTCCTCACTGCCCTGCTCCTCAGCCAGCTGGTGCGGTGCAGACTCCATCAGAAGACTAAATGAGAGCGGGTGGGTGGGAGGAGGCGCTAGGGACAAACGCCTGGATTTGGCTCCGGAGGCATCTGGCAGGCCTTGACTCCCAGCGTACAAGCTCAACGGCCAAGGTGGTGCTAGTCAATCCTCGGACCTTGGCATTGGCTGGGAGCTGCCGAATCCCTGCGCAGCTCCCTGCCTTGGGAGGGAGGAGATGAGGGGCCTCCTTTCAGGGCCGAGGGTAGGGGTTCACCACCCCGGCGTGGGGTTTCCAGGCTGTTGGGTGGGGGTTAAGACTTAGACCAGTGCCCAATCTGAGCCGAGAGGAAGGGGAAGCCTGAGCAGCCACCTTCTGCCAGATTTTATTGGTGGAGGGAAAAGAAACAGGCCAAAAGATGGGTAGCATTTAACTGTACTGTCCCCCGCACCCCAGCCTGGATCCCTGGGTTCCAGAGAATCCCCTGAAGACAAAAGATGCCCTTCACTGACTGCGTCCCTTTGTCGCACTGGCCTGGACGCCCTGCACTTTGTTTCCAGCTCCTCTCCCACAGCTCTCCTTTACCATTCTGAGATCTGTCTCCTTAGATCCCTGTTCCTGGAGGCTCCAGGCTCTACCCGGAAAGGAACTGTCAAGGGATACTCAGAGACCAGACTAATCAGCCCTGCCTGGGGCAGTCAGGACCTTGGGCTGGGAAGAGCGAGAAGGAATTTGCAGACTGAGCTTAGAAGGGCATTTCAGGCAAAGGGGACATCTAGGTTGAGACCCAGAGATGCCAAGCAGGGAGCTGGGTGGGGCTGGAGGTGAGCACAGCCGGCCTCTGGTTCCTGCTGCGGCCTAGACTCAATAAAGTGACTTTGACAATAGCTTCCTCTGTGTTTTGACTCCTGTTCCAGGGAGGGGCCCTGTTCACCACCAGTTTTATTTGAAGGAAGCTGCAGGGTGCTGGGGTGTGTTTGTGTGTGGGGGGGGAGCCTGAAAGGTTCTTGTTTTCTTGTTTCACTTTTACCATAGGGTAAAACTGATGTTGGGGATACATTGTATGTACAATTAAATACATATTTGGCATTTTGAGGGATTAAAGAGCAGTTTTGTTACTAAGTAAATTTTAGAAGTACTTAAAAAAAATCATGTTTAAAAATCTAAGAGTTGGGGACAAAGCTCACTGGTAGAGTGCCAGCCTGGGAAACAGAGAGACCCTGTCTCAAAGCGAAGAAAGGACTGAGGAAATAGCTCCTGCAGAGCCTCTGCGTGAGGCCCCACATTAAATCCCCAGTACTGCAAATGACTAAGTAAGTGGCTAGGACATATCCGTCCATGGATAACATATTCTGAGGGTCGTCATGGAATACATATGCAATTTATGTATAAAAACTTACATAAAAGCATGCATATGAAAATTTATAAGAAATCGACACCTGGGGCTGGAGAGACTGCTCAGTGGTTAAGAGTGTGTACTGCTCTTCCAGAGGATCTGAGTTCGATTCCCAGCACATGTTGGGAGGTTCACAATCTCTTGTAACTCCAGCTCCAGGGGTAAGGATGCCTCACATGTACACCCCCATAAACATAATTACAAACGATAATAACAAACTTACTGTCACTTCTGCTTCGAACTCACACAGTCCTTGCATGCTAGAGAAGCACTCTTAAAAACAAGCTATATTCTCACCCCTTAATTGCAATTTTTTGTTTCTTTGTTTTATTTTTCGAGACAGGGTTTCTCTGTGTAGCCCTGGCTGTCCTGGAACTCGCTCTGTAGACCAGGCTGGCCTGGAACTCACAGAGATCCACCTGCTTCTGCCTCCCGGCTCCATGATTTCAATTTTTATTTCATGTTTTTAAAAATGTTTCCATGTCACTGCATGCCACCTCAGTTACTCTTACATGCCAATTAGTGGCAGCCTCGAGTGTCGGGTGACCTCTAGGTCAGGGCAAGAGGGTTTGGAGTGGGGTCTAGAGCCTGGCTCCATTGCTTCCTCTGTTGGAGGGGAGGCTCGGGGTAGTAAGACAGTGCAGTGTTGGCTCCGCGGTTCAGAGCGCTGGTTGCTCTAGCAGAGGACCCTGGTTCGATTCCCAGGATCCACATGGTGACTCAGAAGAACCTATAACTCTAGCTCCATCCAGCCGATCCGACCGTCCCGTCGGCCGCGTACACCTGCACTCACGCGCGCATAACCACAAATAGACACACACACCCTGACAGAACTAAAGAGAAAATGTATATATATATATGAGAAACAGTGCAGCCCAGCTAAACCAAACGTGGTGGTGAGCTCCGAACTGAGTACGCGCAGGCATGAACAGCGAGGCGGTGTCAGGAGACCAGGGCCCGGGAAAGAGCGCTGGGCGTGGCCAGAGGCGGGGCCACGTCATGACGTCCACAGCGGAGCCCCGCCTCCCACAGCGGCGCGAGATCCGAACGCGCGTCCGCCATCGCGGCGGCGGCGGAGGCGCGCGGTGCCCGGCCGCCATGAGACACAGGGGGCCCGAGGAGGAGGCGTGCGGCGTGTGGCTGGACGCGGCGGCGCTGAAGAGGCGGAAGGTGCAGGTGGGGCGCCCTCGCTGAGGCGACACGCGGGCTTGGGGGACGCCCGAGGGGACGGGGTCGGGCCGGAGGGCGCCGGAGTCGCCCTGAGGCATGCCGGGAGAGGCTCCCCCGCGGCGCGCCCGCGGGGTGTGTTCTAGCCAGCAGGCCGGGGGTCTGCGGGGCGCTGGAGACTGTAATTACCAGCGAGGGAGGGCGGAGCAATCCAGGTTCACCCAGTTACCGACACGTCTGAGATCATTGTTTAGCAGTTTATGCTGGCCATTGTGCCTAGGGTTTCAGGGAATGTCACCTTGCCTGGTACAGCCGTATGGTGGTGTCGGTCCAGCTTAGGCCGAACGTGATATGTCTCCGTAAGTAGTTTCAATAGTTTCAAGAGGAAGGTGATTTTGCGGATGAAAAAATTGGAAGTTTTTTTTTTTTTTAATTTTTGTTTTGAGCCAATGTCTCTGTTATGTAGCTTTTGCTATTCCAGAACTCAGTATGTAGAGCAGGCTGGCCTTGAACTCAGAGATCCACCTGTTACGGTGTTGGGATTAGCGTGTGCTGCCATGCCCAAATGAAAAATTGAGGATTTTTTAAAGTCAGCTTACAACCGAAGTCATTCTTCCTCCTCCCCCAAGATAGGGTTTCTCTGTGTAGCCCTGGCTGTCCTGGAACTTACTCTGTAGACCAGGCTGGCCTTGAACTTGCTTCTGCCATCCAGGTGCTGGGATTAAAGACCATTACCACCTGGTTGAAGTCATTTTTTGAGGCCTAACAAATTTTTACTATTTTTTTTTCCTCTTAAGAACAGCTTTTGGAACAGGTAATATATTGATGTGCTCTGTAATTTAAACATACAGTGCATACCTTGAGACATACTCCTGTCTTTGCTTTGAATTAATATATAACATATACAGGGTTACAGACATTACTATATATTATATATAACATAGTAATATACAGTAATGCAGTAATATATATACACACAAGTATCTTTTTTCCTTTTTACAAATAGTAGTGTAGTATACATTGTTAGGCAATTTGTGTGTGTGTGTGTGTTTAGATTTTTTTGTTATTTTAATTATGTGTATGTGGGATATTTACACATGAATGCAAGTGCCCACAGAGGTCAGAGGTGTGTGAGTCCCCCTGGAGTTTGGGTTGCAGACAGTTAATTGCAAGCCACCTGATGTGGATGCTGGGAATTGAACTCAGGTCCTCAGGAAGAATAGTATGCGCTCTTAACCAATAAGCTATCTCTCCAGGCCTCCCATGTCTTACAGATGACTCTGGAGGTGAGCTGCAGCTGCAGGCATTTGTGAACTACCTGATGTGGGTTGCTGGGGACTGAACTTGGGTCTTCTAGAAGAGCAGCAGTCTCTCTTAACCACTGGGCCGCGTCTCCAGGCTGCAACTTGTTTTTGCTTCTTGCCTCGTAAATCATGTTTTCATAGAGCTGCATTCATGCCTTTGTCATCTTACATATATAGAATGCCGCTCACTGTGTGCAGTAACAGAATACCATAGACTGGGTGGCTTCAACAACAGAATTGGCTTTCCCAGTTTAAGGACTGCAGGTGGTCTGGTGAGCTTGTGAACGATGCTCAGGTGGCATTGTGCCGAACAGCTGTGTGGAGAAACAGCGGGCTCTCTTGCGTCATCACAGGCCCACCCTCGACCTCCTTCAATACTAATTACCTCCCCAAGGTTCCATCTCCAAGTACCATCTCATTGGGAGGTAATGTTTGAATATATCAACTCCATGTGACCACAGTTCAGTCCATAGCGTGTGTGTGTGTGTGTGTCTATTTGTCTCTGTCTGTGTGTCATTCTGTAGTTTTTCAGTAGTCCCTAATTGATGAAAAGTTGTCTTCCAACGTTTTTGTTTGTTTGTTTGTTTCCTCTGGGTAGCCTTGGCTGTTCTGGGCTTGCTTTGTAGACCAGCCTGGCCTCAAAGACCCGAGTGCTGGGATTAAAGGTGTTTGCTACCTTGCCAGCCCATCTTTTGCTATTTAAACCAGCTTCTGAGCTAAGTTCGCTGGCATGGGACTCAAGCTGGAGGCAAAAGGATTGCATGTTTGGGGCCAACTCGTATGGATGAGTTCCAGGTCAGCTTGGGCTACTACAGTGAGACTGTCTTGGGGAAAACACCAGCAAAACAACCATAAAACCCAAAAGCTGTTTCTGTGATGAGTGTTGTACAACCGTCTCCCCCTTACTGTGTGCATCTGTTGTTTGGTGTCCTTTGTAATTATTACTAGTTTTGTTTGTTTTCTTTCTATGTAGCCCAGATTGGCCTGGCGCTCGCTATGTAGACCAGGCTGGCCTTGAACCTTCTTTGAACCTCCTGCTGAGATGGGCGTGTGTTTATAATTTACTTAGAGAAAACAATAGATGCTAATGTTTTTCGGGGCTCTATGAAAGCAGGCTGCTGTGGTTTGTAGACCGGAATGTGTAGCAGAAGACAACCCAGGGCTTGTGAGTGCCATCTAAAGGGGGGAGTAGCATTCAAGAACTGACCTTTAACCTGTGGGGTCTGACATCATCTGTGGCTCATGGTGTCACAATGAATTGAGTTAGAGAACACTTAGCTGGCTGGCGTTTGCTGCTGGATTGCTTGCTAGGCTGTGAGAATAATATCTACACTAAACATTTACTGTTGGATGTGTGTTTCCTACTACAGTCTCATAAAACACTTCAAATGCAAGGGAAGAGCACTTCTGCATCTCTCTCTTTTTAAAATAAGATATTTATTTATTTATCTATCTATCTATCTATCTATCTATCTATTTATTTATTTATTATGTATACAGTGTTCTGCCTGCAGGCAAGAAGAGGGCACCAGATTTCATTATAGATGGGTGTGAGCCACCATGTAGTTGCTGGGAATTGAACTCAGGACCTCTGGAAGAACAACCAGTGCTCTTAATCTCTGAGCCATCTCTCCAGCCCCACTACTACATCTCTTTAATAGAATATAGAAACCTGCTTCTTCTAGGGTAGCACTTAGAAAGGCATACAGGGCATAGCTACTGACCAGTGCTTTGGAAAACCTGCCTCTCTACTCTTGGTTCTTGAACAAGACTGCTGTTTTGGAGAGAATGAGGATGGCATATTGTTTGGCCTATATTTAGAGTGAGTTTAGATCTTATTTGTTCTCACTACCACAAGCATGCAGCATTGGCCTCACAACCTAGGCTTTGGTACAGCGGATAGTGGTTATTTTCTTTCTTTAATTGAAAAAGTATTTAGCCAGCCATGGTAGCGCAGGCCTGTAACCCCAGCATTTAGGAAATGGAGTGTAGGAAAATCAAGAGTTCAAGGCCTCTGGGCTACATGACACACTCATCTCCATACATATAAAAAGAAAACCAAACAAATAATATTGAATTGTTTTAAAAACAAAAATCCTCACTGGTGGCAGCTACAGTTAGCAGATTGGCATCTTCAAGACATGTGTGAGTAAAGTAGTCCCCCTAATCCACTGAGTATTTGAAACCTCAGTACTTAACCCTGTATGTGTTGTATTTTTTTCCTGTAGCTATATACCTATGAGAATTTTTTGTTTTGTTTTGTTTTTGAGATAGTATCTCTCTACAATCTCTCTACATAGTCCTGGCTGCCCTGAAACTCATTATGTAGATCAGGCTGACCTCTCCAAAGTACTGGAATTAAAAGTATGTGTGCAACCATGAAGGGTAGGATTTATTTTTTAGCTATGTGTGGGTGTGCGTGTCTGTGTTGGTATATGTGCACATGAATGCAAATGCCTGTAGAGTCCAGAGATCCTCTGGAGTGAAATCAAAGGCAGCTGTGAACCTCTGTAGGTACTGGAACCAAACTCAGGTGCTCTGGAAGTCAGGAAGTGCTCTTGACTGAGTCATCTCTACAGCCCTTATTAAGAAAGCATCTTAGCCAGGCGGTGGTGGCTCATGCCTTTAATATTTGCCCTTGGGGGGCAGGGGCAGGGGCAGGCAGATCTCTGAGTTTGAGGCCAGCCTGGGACAGTCAGGGGCTACACAGAGAAACACTGTCTCGAAGAAAAAAGAAGAAAAAGATCTGTGTAGTGCAGGTTGGCCTTGATAGCATATGGAGTCAAGGATGAACTTCTGCTCTCCCCTCTATCTTCTGTGTGCTGGACGTTAGGCATGTCCATTATACTCTGTTATCACATTCAGTGCTTTGTGAATTCTAGATGAGTGCTCTGCCAACTGCCCCACATCTCTAGCCTAAGGCTTTACCGTATGAAGAACAATAATAGAAAAAGTAACTATAACAGTACTGTTATAGTTAGGCAGATGTGGTTGGTCTCTTTCAACCCCCACAGGGAGAACAGAATATACAGTATAAATGCACCAGATAAAGATGATTCGTGCCCTGCTAGAGTAGGGTGGTGAAGAAATTCACCACGACACTCGGAATGACAAATTAAAACTTAGAATTGTTTATTTCTGTAATTTCCACTAATATGTTAGACTTGAGTTGCTGTGAGAAACTGAAACAAGAGAAAGCAGACACTTGATTAAGGGAGGTACTTTCCCCACACTTGGGGTTACAGCTACTCACCTTCCACATAAGACCTACAAGTTTTATGACATAGTATTTCAAAAGGCTATTTAACTTACATTACTTTCAAGTTTTATCTTTTAACTATGCTTCCTCTATATAAAAACATTGAAAAAATTTTCAGTGCCCTTGTACCCCAGCACTGGGGATTGAATCTAGGGCCTCACACATGCCAGGCAAGTTCTCTACGACTGAGTTCCATTCCCAGCTTTTTTATCCTTTTTTACTTCATATGCATATGTGTATGTATATATGGGCACATGTGTCCCTGTGAGGTCACCAGTCCTTGTGGGTCCTTAGAAAAAAGTTTTATTTTCCTACACATTAAAGAGATAACACAAATTTAAGGTTAACATTTGCTGTCTTCATAGTGTTATATTTAAATGTCATTATAGTTAAAGAAAGGACATGATCAGGAGAAATGGAATTGTGAACATACAGAAATCTTGGCT